TACACACATAAACAGAATCAGAAATGAGAAAGGAAAAATCACTATAGACACCACAGAAATACAAAGAATTGTTAGAGAATACTCTTAAAAATTATATGGTAAAAAACTGGATAACCTAGAAGAAATGGACAACTTTCTAGAAAAATACAACCTTCCAAGACTGACCAAGGAAGAAACAGAAAATCTGAACAGACCAATTACCAGCAATGAAATTGAATCAGTAATCAAAAAACTACTCAAGAACAAATTCCTGGACCAGGTCGATTCGCTGCTGAATTTTATCAGACACTTAGAGAAGACATAATACCCGTTCTCCTTAAAGTTTTCCAAACAATAGGAGGGAAAACTTCCAAACTCATTCTGTAAAGTCAGCATCACTCTAATACCAAAACCAGGCAAAGATACCACAACTAAGAAAACTACTGACCGATATTCCCTGATGAACATAGGTGCAAAAATACTCAACAAAATATTAGCAAACCGAATTAAAAAATACAAGAGAATCATACATCCTGATCAAGTGCATCCCCGGGATGAAAGGATGGTACAGATTTAGAAAATACATCAGTATCATCCACTATATCAATAAAAAGAGGGACAAAAATCACATGATCATCTCCATAGATGCTGAAAAAGCATTTGACAAAATTCAACACCCATTCATGATAAAAACTCTCAACCAAATGGGTACAGAGGACAAGTATCTCAACATAATAAAGGCCGTATATGACAAACTGACAGCCAACATCATGCTTAGCAGTGAAAAGCTGAAAGCTTTACCTCTAAGATTGGGAACAAGACAAGGATGCCCACTCTCCCCGCTTTTACTCAGCATAGTACTGGAGTTCCTAGTCATGGCAATCAGACAACACAGAAATAAAAGGCATCCAGATTGGTAAGGAAGAAGTCAAACTGTCCTTGTTTGCAGATGATATGATATTGTACATAACAACTCCTAAAGAATCCACTCCAAAACTACTAGAACTAATATCTGAATTCAGCAAAGTTGCAGGATACAAAATTAATACACAGAAATCTGTGGCAGTCCTATATGCTAACAAAGTCCTAGCAGAAAGAGAAATCAGGAAAACAATTCCACTCACAATTGCATCAAAAAGAATAAAATACCTAGGAATAAACCTAACCAAGGAAGTGGAAGACCTATACCCTGAAAACTACAGGACACTCTTGAGAGAAATTGAAGAGGACACTAATAAATGGAAATTCATCCCATGCTCTTGGCTAGGAAGAATTAATATTGTCAAAATGGCCATCCTGCCTAAAGCAATCTACAGATTCAATGCAATCTCTATCAAAATACCGATAGCATTCTTCAATGAACTAGAGCAAATAGTTCTAAAATTCATATGGAACCACAAAAGACCCCAAATAACCAAAGCAATCCTGAGAAGGAAGGATAAAGCAGGGGGAAATATGCTCCCTGACTTCAAGCTCTACTACAAAGCCAAAGTAATCAAGACAATTTGGTACTGGCACAAGAACAGACCCATAGACCACTGGAACGGACTAGAGAGTCCAGATATAAACCCAAGCATACATGGTCAATTAATATATGATAAAGGAGCCATGGATATACAATGGGGAAATGACAGCCTCTTCAACAACTGGTGTTGGCAAAACTGGACAGCTACATGTAAGAGAATGAAACTGGGTTGTTTAACTCCATACACAAAAGTTCACTCTAAATGGGTCAAAGACCTGAATGTAAGTCATGAAACCATAAAACTCTCAGAGGAAAACATAGGCAAAACTCTTCTGAATATAAACATGAGCAACTTCTTCATGAACATATCTCCCCGGGCAAGGGAAACAAAAGCAAAAATGAACAAGTGGGACTATATCAAACTAAAAACCTTCTGTACAGCAAAGGACACCATCAGTAGAATAAAAAAGCATCCTACAGTATGGGAGAATATATTCATAAATGACATATCTGATAGGAGGTTGACATCCAAAATATATAAAAACTCACGCACCTCAGCAACCTAAAAGCAAATAACCTGATTAAAAAATGGGCAGAGGATCTGAACAGACGCTTCTCTAAAGAAGAAATTCAGATGGCCAACAGGCACATGAAAAGATGCTCTACCTCTCTAATCATCAGAGAAATGCAAATGAAAACAACAACGAGGTATCACCTCAAACCCATTAGGATGGCCAACATCCAAAAGACAAACAACAATAAATGCTGGCGATGCTGTGGAGAAAGGGGAACCCTCCTACACTGCTGGTAGGAATGTAAACTATTTCAACCATTGTGGAAAGCAATATGGAGGTTTCTCAAATAGAAATACCATTTGACCCAGGAATTCCTCTCCTAGGAATTTACCCTAAGAATACAGAATCCCTGATTGTAAAAGACATACACACCCCTATGTTTATCACAGCACTATTTACAATAGCCAAGAAATGGAAACAACCAAAGTGTCCATGAGTAGATGAATGGATAAAGAGGATGTGGTACATACACACAATGGAATGTTATTCAGCCGTAAGAAGAAAACAAATCCTACCATTCGCAACAACATGGATGGAGCTGGAGGGTATTATGCTCAGTGAAATAAGCCAGGTGGAGAAAGACAAGTACCAAATGATTTCACTCATCTGTGGAGTATAACAACAATGCAAAAACTGAAGGAACAAAACAGCAGCAGAATCACAGAACCCAAGAATGTACTAACAGTTGCCAAAGGGAAAAAGGGACTGGGGATGGTGGTTGTGAAGGGAGGGATAAGGGGATTCAAGGGCATTATGATTAGCACACATAATGTAGGAAGAGCAGAGGGAAGGCAGTATAGCACAGGGAAGACAAGTAGTGACACTATAGCATCTTACTATGCTGATAGACAGTGGCTGTAATGGGGTATGTGGTGGGGATTTGATAAGGGGAGGAATCTAGTAACCACAGTGTTGCTCATGTGATTGTATATTAATGACACCATAGTAAAATAAATGTAAAAGTTCATATAAGTGGTCATGTTTTACTTAGAGTCCACCATCTTTTTTTTTTTTAGGATCTAAAAAGTTTTTTTAGTTTGGTCTTATTTCCGTAAGTGAATACCTGATTACACACACTGAAAAGCTAATGCATTGTGTTGGGATTACTGGACTTTGATTCTTCCCTGAACAAAATGAAACAAGTTTAGGATATCAAAATAAGTGAATTCTTTGATGAGATTCTTGCTGTCCTCATGATGTGCACCCACCACATTTGCTTTCTTGTGGTGGCACATTCATAACAGGATGACCCACTAAGTTTCACCGCTAATAAGCCATTTGGAGTTTTCAGTTCTGTTTTGTTGATCTCCCCTTTGGCAACCCTTCATTACCAAACTTTGGTAACTGTTTTATCTGCTGCAGAATAACATTAGTCTTTGATGTGTAAAATTTGCTTTCTCTGATGAGCGAGAATTTTTTGACCTTTATACCTTATCTGCATTCCACCTCCCTTATTGTCTGCATCTGGGCCTTTTTGCTTTCTTTAGAATTTTTTAGGATAAGGCCTCCCTACAATAGTGGAGTTTAGCTCTCTCAGTTAAGAGCCTTCATATTCAAGTGAATCTAATCTATCTCATTAAAATATTTTTAAATTTATGTGAATGGCTAGGTTTAGTGTTTTGAGTGTTGCTATACAATGGATTTTGTAGGTCATTTAGTGAAAATAGTTTGCCATTTTCTAATTGGACTAAATATGTTTATTTCCTTTCTGTTTAAGCTTTTATAAGTATCTGCTACAGTTTTAGCATTAATAAAGTTTCTGAAGGGTCCCCACCAGTAAGATGGCAAACTTCCGGCTTCTCTTCGGGGTCCTCAGTTCCCGCCGGCGCCACCTGAAGCCCAATCACCTCTCGTCCCCCTCCCAATCCCAGCACCTAGCCAACAGCCACCAGCCCCGTAGAAGTGACACCTCAATCAATTCATGCCCCTTCCTATATAACCCAGCACCTTTCCCTAATAAAGCGGAACTCTCCGGTGAATTGCTGCTATGTGTTGCTCCTTTCCTTTCAAACAGCAAACACAGTACAAACCTAAATCATAATATCTGCCACCAGCTTTCATCATCTTTTCTCACACGAGAAGGAAGCTGGTGGTAAGCAGCAAAGGTGAATGTGCTGCACTTTATTCTCCTGCCCTTTCTGTCTCTGTGGTCTGGAAGGTATAGGAAAGTTTTAAGAATAATTCAGGTCCCTATTTAGTGAATTTTGGGGATCAAGTTCATTAGAACCTCTGGGATGGGGGTTAGGAATCTAACAAGATATAGAGCACTCTAACAATTAATGAGCTTCTTAGGCGATTCTAATGTGTAGCCAGATTTGAGAACCATTGCTAGTGACTCCAGAGGAATTTTGCTTTAATTTTCAGCATCAAGGTCAGTTATGAGCATGTGCTCAGCATCAGAACTCCATGTCCGAAGTAAAGGTTGCTTTTATTGCTTATATTTTGGCTCTGATATCATTTGGCTACAAGAAATGGGAAAAAGTCCTTACTTTTAGATTAAACAAATTTTGGAATTTTTCTTTCTGGAATTTATTAGGGAACAAAAGTTTTCATTTTGTCAAGTATGTCCATACTATACTGAATATGAGTGAAAAGCCACATTAGCAAAATAGCAGAGCTGATTTGACAAAACTCATCAGGAGCTGAAAGTTTTAATATTAGATTGTTAAAGTGTTAGAAATAGAAGAGGCTTTAGAGATCATCTGAATCATTGCATGCCTTTTACAGATTTAGAACATAGGACTTAGGGAAGTGAAGTGACAAGCAAAATTACAAAGCTAGGGAGGAAAATCTTTTCTTTTTTATTTGGGAGACTTTGGGGAGGTTCCTATTCTTACCATGAATGCGTTAATTTAATACAATATTTCTGGTAAAATGATAGCATGAAAGTAAAGCTATTTTCTATTCAGATGTACAGAGACTAAATAAACCTAGTTTTCCTATAATACTGAATAGTTTCTTTTTTATTGTCATCCAGGAGTAACAGTTGAAACCACACTGCAAAATATTAATATAAAAGAAGATACGTTCCCAGTTCCAGCCAGCCCAATACCAGATGTGCATTTCTTTTATAAGTAAGTGAAGATGCTGCCTCCCTTGACTATTTTTTAAATTAAAATGTCACTTCAGGGTATCTAGCTTATGCTTAATAAATAATTGATTCTTAAAGAGTAAAAAGTAGAAAACATGGAATATTTTGAAAGCATTATATAATTTCTCATACATATTTAATATTATAACTTACAAGAAAAGTCAATTGCCTTTAAAATTAGGCAATAAAGAGACTCTATTTCATTGTCAACACAATAATTATTTGTAATTCACACATCAAAACATCAAGCTAAGTGGATATGACCCTCAAGTCCCTTAAATTTTTTTTAGTATAATTTTGATTATAATTACATTAGCTCTAATAAACACCTTAATGATAACTTATCATTTTGATGCTGGGGTTCTTGTTTGCAGAGCCGAAGAATGAGCTTCACAAACAGTCAAGGTAGGAGAGCAAGGTACAGGCTTTTATTAGAGATAAAGTAAAAGAACAGAGCTCCCAGCTCGTGCCAGGAGGGGACAAGAGAGCCCATAGTGGTGCGTTGACTAGGGGGTTTTATAGGCAGTTGAGGAGAATGTGAAAAAACTTAGGGGTGGGGGCTTGTTAAGTAGTCCCTGAATATTAAAAATTAACTTAGCTGTAAGGAATTTCCTGCCTTGATTTCTCTCTGGGACACTGGCACCTTGGTCTGGGAGCACATCAAAAAGCTGCCTGCCCAGCCCCCAAGGTGGGCTGAGGCATTGCCTACTTGCTAAAGAAGCTTGCCTCTTGAACTTCCTGGGTGTTAAAATGCAATCTTATCTTTAAGATGGAATTCTTCCTGCCTTTTACTATGCCATTTACAGCTGGGTCTGCATGCTAAGTTAGTTGCTCAGTTTGCAAAATCACCTTGTCAGATCTGAAAGAGGAAAGACAGCACATAGGCCTGGGCTTTTTAGTATGCTAAGGTGAATCTTACACATGGTTACAAATGATTAGCATAATAAAACATGTGCTACTCTTCTTTATCTGGGGAACATTAACTGATCTCACTGAAGAATGATTCTAGAGCTCAATGTTTAACACAGAGTTTTAGTAGGGGGGTTTCCTTGCATGTAGTTACATTGCTCTGACTACAAATATCTTGCCCTGCCCCCTCCGGAGGCCTTCACCCTACTCTGACTACATCCATGGTCCCTGTCTCAATTTCACCTAGAAAAAGTTAGTTTTTCATAGGCAGTAAAAATAAATGGAACTCAGTTTGTATAAAATTCTAAATTAGGAAACTTTGATACATTTTTCTTTTTAATTTCTTCATAGAGCACAGGAACAGTTATACACAGGATATTTTTATCTTTGTAATCTATGTCATATCTGTTTTGTAAAATGACATTTCCCTTACAATAGATCTTCTACAACCACGACATCCTGTGTTAATGGCCGATCAACTGCTGTGACAATGAGGTGTAATCCTGCTAAACCAGGAGCCGGAGCAATTTCAGTCCCCAGGTATTCTCATTTCTATATGATGTTCTAAATTTGTATTTATTATGAGGAAACAAAACTCTGCTGAGTCTTACTATTTTAAAGCGTATTCTCTATGGATGTAAAGCAGAAAGAAAACAGAAGAATATGTAGACATTTGCTGTGCTGAGGACCTATTAAGAGAAATAGACCCTTGCTGATCGCAGTGCTTCCCAGTCTCCTCAGTGACATAGGCTCATTCTGTTCGTTTGTCTCATTCTCTTGAAATTATTTAGGTAATATATAATTATAATGTTCATGTCCTTGTATTTATTCTTACTATTTAGTTTCAGTTTGCTTGAGAGCTGGCTTAGCAACTTTCCTGGTTATAGTTCTTCATCAACAACGAACCTCTCTGGGTGATCTAGATGAAGAAATCTAACCTCCGAGTCACAGGTTCTTTCTCTGGAGGGCATTGGAGACCAGGGTACATCACTTGTATGATCCATTTCCAACTCTAGTTTTCTGATTAATGGTGGTAGAACCACCAAGGTAGGGACTGGTCTATTAGAATACATAGCACAGTTTGTTTAGCTATTGGCATTGAGGGAACAGCTCTCAACGGTCTCTATCTAATTAATACAGTCCACAGTGAGTGGGAGCAAGAGAAGATAAGAAATTTTATGGACTTAGAAGATCTGTCAAAGCATTAACAAAATACTTTCATGGCATGAGTAACACTTGAATGCTGATGTTTATTTTTCAAAGTAATTTGCTGTTCCATGTATAGATTACTTCTAATCTTTTTAAGGTTAAGGTACCTTTGGATCACAGTTTGATTTGCAGATTTTCCCCCTTCAAGCTAGCAAAACTGTATATTTTTAAAAAAGAAAATGATTGCTTTATCTTTTTTTTTTAAGTTTTGTTATAATCCTTGAGGTATTTCAAGCTCTCTCCTGCTTATGTCACATCAGGATTGGAAATCAGTGGTCCATGCAATGCTTCATCTACCTGGGCATCTTAAAAATTATTATGGTGGTAACACAGTATTGTGAGCTTATTGTGGGGCATAAAGGCACCCGCTTGCATTCACCTCTTACCAACTGTGTTTCTCTAGTTCTCCTAGATCGATGAGTTAATTTTTCTTTTCACCTTTTTAAAGTGAGAGAAGAATGTGGTGAGAGGAGTACATAATAAAAGGTGATAGACATCCAGTGAAAGAAACAGAGGGAGCCCATTGCTACAGGCCATCATGTGGGGGAGGACGTCTGTGCCAGCATCCTCGAGCCAAAGCAGCACACCCCCTGTCTTCAGGAGCAGGCGTGCTCAGAGATGTTTCCTAGTGCCCAGGGCTGCACCATATCGCTTTCAGTTCAGATGTTTGTTCTATTTACTGTAGCACTCCTGAGGTCCCTTTTGGGATCTAGCAACTAACCCCCCTGGTCTGGTCTCTAAGAGGCTACCTAGATGGCTTCCAAAGCCATCTCTAAGTCTCTGATTCAAGGTTAGATCTGTCAGTTAGAAAACATGTCACTCTAACCCTTCTAAAGTGGGTTCTGATGTTTTAATGTAATCGTAATAATAAAAAAAAAAACTTGTGATATTAAATGATGGCATTTAAAAAATGATTTTCTCCTTGTAAGGAGAGGAAAAGTAAGTTTCTCCATTGACTTCTAGGAGTTTTTCTACTGCAGGAATGTTAACTGTCTTTGCCTGGGTTCCTCAAGGCCTCTTGAAGCAGAATACCTTGGGGTGTTTATTTTAAAATCTATTTCTTTACCTTCCCTAAAACCTAAAGAATTTCTGAGTGTTGAGCACAGGAAAACACAAGGCAATTCTGATGCATGTTAAAATCTGAGAACCATTACATTTTGGAGATATGGCTGGTTCTTTTTTTCTGAGACAGATTCTCAAACTCTGTTCTGCATTTTACTTTTCTGAGAAACAAAATTAGAATGTCTTGGTCTCTATGGTAGAGTTTTTCCCCCATACTTTGATACAACTTTATTTGTAATTATGTTATTGTGGGGCATAAAGGCACCCGCTTGCATTCACCTCTTACCAACTGTGTTTCTCTAGTTCTCCTAGATCGATGAGTTAATTTTTCTTTTCACCTTTTTAAAGTGAGAGAAGAATGTGGTGAGAGGAGTACATAATAAAAGGTGATAGACATCCAGTGAAAGAAACAGAGGGAGCCCATTGCTACAGGCCATCATGTGGGGGAGGACGTCTGTGCCAGCATCCTCGAGCCAAAGCAGCACACCCCCTGTCTTCAGGAGCAGGCGTGCTCAGAGATGTTTCCTAGTGCCCAGGGCTGCACCATATCGCTTTCAGTTCAGATGTTTGTTCTATTTACTGTAGCACTCCTGAGGTCCCTTTTGGGATCTAGCAACTAACCCCCCTGGTCTGGTCTCTAAGAGGCTACCTAGATGGCTTCCAAAGCCATCTCTAAGTCTCTGATTCAAGGTTAGATCTGTCAGTTAGAAAACATGTCACTCTAACCCTTCTAAAGTGGGTTCTGATGTTTTAATGTAATCGTAATAATAAAAAAAAAAACTTGTGATATTAAATGATGGCATTTAAAAAATGATTTTCTCCTTGTAAGGAGAGGAAAAGTAAGTTTCTCCATTGACTTCTAGGAGTTTTTCTACTGCAGGAATGTTAACTGTCTTTGCCTGGGTTCCTCAAGGCCTCTTGAAGCAGAATACCTTGGGGTGTTTATTTTAAAATCTATTTCTTTACCTTCCCTAAAACCTAAAGAATTTCTGAGTGTTGAGCACAGGAAAACACAAGGCAATTCTGATGCATGTTAAAATCTGAGAACCATTACATTTTGGAGATATGGCTGGTTCTTTTTTTCTGAGACAGATTCTCAAACTCTGTTCTGCATTTTACTTTTCTGAGAAACAAAATTAGAATGTCTTGGTCTCTATGGTAGAGTTTTTCCCCCATACTTTGATACAACTTTATTTGTAATTATGCACACCGAAGTTTGAGGACCACATTCTAGGAAACTGCTTGAACCTCACACCGAAATACACACTGACCTTTAATTCTTCCTTCAGTCAGTTTCCCATGAGGGCACAAGGGGGAGCTCTGGGATCAGAACAGGGGAAACAGCAGCTTGTTCTAAAATAATTAGACTTCTTTTAGCTGTAGGGCTGAATAAAGATTTCCTACTAACAGCAAAGAAATGTGAATAGAACCGGGTTTCTCAGGCTACTTGAAGAGGACTTACTTTGCACTATTTTGAGCTTTAAGATCTCCAGGGAAGAGGAAGGTGCTAACCAGGCACTTGCCTTGAAAAAGTCTTACATGCTGACCAAGAAGTCTCAGAAGGCAGATGTGGCAGTTCAGAAGGGATGCTAGTACCCCCAGGACTTTTCCTCTCTTGGCCAGGAATGTGGGCAGATTAGGCAAAGGCAACATTAGCAGTAGTAATGTTGGTTGGGCCTCTGTATCTTGGTACCTGGAAAAATGCCCTAAGAACCCCAGCCCTGGGGAAGTGTGAATGTCTTAACAGGAAGTGGATTCTGGGCAGGAAAAAAAGGAGACTTGCGTGTTCTCTGTATATCTCCTATGAAATTTAGTGGGGGCAGCAAATTATCTGGGCTGCCTACTAATCTGCAATTGGAAACTCCAACCTGTCTGTTTTGTCTAGCAAATACATTTGTTTTCTAATTCCACGAAGTGTCTGGAGGATGTGAGACAATTCAGATAAACACGTAACAGTATGATGTCTACAGCAGACGAAATCTGAGAACTGGAGTGGACTTTGGAGATTGTCTAGCGTGGTTTGTACCTTAGTTAGAGAATCACTTGCTAATTTGACAGATTGCTACTATCCCCAAATAGATGCCCTGGCAGCCTCTGTCCAAAAGGCTTCCCAAACCTTCAATCGTGATCCTAGGTGGTTAGAGGAATTGAAGGTTCTCCTTTCATTAGGAAAAATTTAGACCTAAGATTTGTGTCCAAAGCACTTTTTCAAAAACATGAGAAATTTCTGTTAGTGAAAAGGTTATAAAAAAACTTATTAGGAAATGGGCAAAGGGAATCACTTTACCGTAAGAGACATCTAGCACCTTAGAGATCCTTGGGTCAGACCCATTTACTTTACACAGTAGGAAACATTGAGGGCACAGTCTGGATAGCTGTGGAGTGGTACAGTCAAGACGGAAAGATTTCCTAGCTGTATCTCTTGTTCTATTCTGACCATCACGTTTTCACTTTGCCATTTTCCTCCTCAAATTCCTTATGGGTAAAGATTTGCAAAAAAGTGCTTTAGGCAAATAACACATTTATCTGGGGGATAACTCAACTGATGTGCAAGTTTTTGTTACCTTCCTTTAAGTGAGTCATCTCCTCTCAAACAAGTTGTCTTTGTTAATGTTATGAGTTGGAGGAAAATCCTCCTCCTCCCCCATTCTCTCTCATCTTAGGACTATATTTCACTGCTTTGGTAGTTTATAAATTGGTCTAAACCTCTTTTGCCAAAACCTTTTTCAAAATCCAAATTTATATTCTTTGTTAAGTATAGCCTCTGCTTAGGGACCGAGCAGGGCAAGTGGGTAGCAAAGAGCTGAGAGGAGCAGGGTTTCTGCCGGTTTTTAAATTAGTTTTTCAGTGTACCCTCTGAGAATATTGTATCTCACAAAAGGGATGCTTCAGAGTTCTGGCCTGATCATGTTCAGAGGTCAACATGCCAGGGGTTTATCCCACAAGCTTTGATTGAGAGTCTCTCTATATGGAAGGCATTAGATCTATTGGACATTAGTGTAGAGTTTTCCTTGCTCTTTGGGAAAAGATTGTTAAAGCAAAAAGGTCCATCCATTTTAAGTTGTTTAGAGCCAGAGAATGATGATTGGTTAAATGAGTTCCTTGTTTTCTTCTCCACACTGTTTTTGGACAGATAATAGATACCTAAATCTGTATAGGTTAAGTTTAAAAAGGCAATAGAATTCAAAAGATTGTTCCTAGGACAGTGAAAAGTAAGGAGTCATATAAAAACACTATGAGCATAAGTGAAAACTAAAACCTGTCATGATCAAGAAATGGAAAAATTCTAATGCCTAAGTGTTAAAATTGTACAATTAAACACTAATGCATAATTCTAAGACTCACAAAACAGTCATGAAGTTTAAGGACCCATTTTGAAATAAGATGATAAAACTTTGACAAATTTTTTTTGTTATTGACAAAGATGCTGAGTCTGTATAAAAAAGAAACTAGGGGGTGTCAGTCAATGTCTTTTGTTCAGGTCTTGATCAGAAGCTGGCTTTTGGTAATTAGCCCAGGGGAGAATCTTTAGAAAGAGAGGTTTTTTGCAGGTAACTGGCTGAATTTTTTGTATCCCTGCTTCCAAGAGCTGTGGGTCAAAATATCTTATATTCAAATTTAGCCATAAGTGATTTGTGCTCTTCAGCCTCAGGAAAAACAAAATTGGAGCAAGATGCAAAGGCATTTTATGGAGCCCAAAAGAAAGGATTGTTTGTTTGGACCTTGTTGGCATCCTCAGCAGAGGAAGGGTGGGGCTCCTTAGAGGCCAGAGCTGAGGGGAGTCACCCGTAGCAGGTCAGAGAGCATTGCTGTGTGTGGATAAAATGAGAGTTCCTGTGGCCAGGATTCTCACCTGGCCATGGTTGACTAGCTCACTGCACACCTGTGGGCACTACATGGCTGTTGACTCTATAAAAAGAGCTCTGCCCAGTGCTCTGGGCACAACATGGTGGCAGGGCTTCAAGGCTACAGGAAAGCAGAGCAGAGGCTGGAGTGGTGGCAGTGCCGAGGACAGAGGCCCAGAGGATGGCTGTTCTGGACGACTGTGCAGAGAGGCCTGGGGGATGGCTGTGCAGACAGAGGGGCCCAGAGGCAGAGCCTGGCTTGCTGCATGCAGACTCGTTCTGAGTGAACGGGATTCTAGTGACTGACCTGCCACCTAGAAATAAAGTTGGGTATAACCCTTTCACCCAAAAGAGCATTCTGCTGTCAATTTCTTTGGTCACACTGAATCCATAGCGAACTTGCCCAGGGCTGAAACCCATTGGCAAGACACTGTGCCAAAGAATACCAGTCTGCATACCCTCAGGCCAGGGCCCCAGAAACCCACAAAAGGCCCATGTGAAAGAAGTTCAGCAACAGTAGTACCCTAACACCAAATGAGAAGTCTTCTAGGTACCCCAAACTGTGGCTTTTCTTCCCCCAGTCTCCCGAGACTAACTCCAGAAGGGTCAGAAATGTACTAAAAATGTACATGAATTTGTTTGAAATCTGGATTTTGAGTGAAGTTAAGCAAAACAATTTTACACTCCTTTATCAACTACCCAAATGATTAATACTAGGCTGAGTATATGGTCAGAATCGTTCATAAGAAAAGCTTTTTCTCCATGCATTCATAATATGAACTGAGGGCATCTTGCTTTTGGTAAGATGATCCATTTAAATGAGGATGCTAATAACTTAGAGCTCAGTCCAAGTATGCCCTCAGAAAATGTAGTCCATTTTAGAATCCAACACACAACTTCCTTCAAAAAAGGATTCATCTAAATTCGTACACATTGCCAGTGTTCTCCTGCAAGCCCAGAAGTGAAGTAAGGACCCTGGAAAATCTGTTCCTCACTTACTAATACACCAAATCAAGGTTCACCTGGGTGTCCTTTGCATCCATGGTTGTTTCTGTACCTGGAATTCACAACACAGCTGGTCTTCCTGTAGAGCTTGGAATGCCCCAGGCACCCATGACCAGGGGCTGTCTCTTTAGACATTTACTCACTGGTTTCTGTGGTGATTTTATGGACCAACAGTTATAGAAGAAATCCTTTGTTCTTCTTTACAAAGCTGTCAGGAGGAGACAGAGATAGTGGTGATACAGGTCATTAAAAGGAAAAGTATTTCACATGTTTATCAAAAAAACATTTTTCTTACTATTTGCTTTTTTGTTCTTCCTTAGCAGGATAAGGTATTTTTTTTCTTGCATGTTTTTCCTATTTTCTTTTTACATATAAGCACTACTGAAATTATTGCTGCTTTATACATCCTTGTCATTTCACGGGGAAAGCCTGATTCAAACTGAAAATTATATTTATAACAAAGAATCAAATTTAGATGTTCCACATTTTAAATTATTCATTGGGATAAGAGAATTAGAGAATTGATTCTAAACTAAACTACTTTTAATCCAAGAGTATCTTTAAAAAGTGAAAGAAAGGCACTAAACCACTGCAGGATTTGACACCTAATGGCTGCTTTATGAATTATATCAATGTCTTGGTTCCCTCCCCGTCTGTAGTTCTACCTTCTTCGGAAAGTGATATGCTTTATTAACAGTCTTATATTTTGTAGTGCTTTAAATGTTCCCAAATTGTTCTCATTTTATCCTTTACAACCAGCCTGTGAAGGCAGGAAAGCAAACATTCTGCTTTTGACAAATTACCGAAATGAGACAGTGTGTGTATGTGTGTGTGTTGGGAGGGGAGTGGGGGGATGGAGAGACTGAGTCACTTGTGGAAAAACACACAATCATTTGCAAGTCCAGTTAGGATTGTACCCCAAGTCTTCTCCCCACAGCTCTTTGCAGCTTTGATTAATTTTCTCCTATTCTTTTTCATTTGTTGAGTTCTTTCTTCCCAAACTTTAGCAGATTTACTCTTTTATTTTCCCAAGATAAACTGTCCTCTTCCCCCCTCTGCTCTGAAACATCTCTGTGTTGGAAAGATGGAATAGAAAATAATTGGGGGAGGAGAGATTTGAGCAGGAAAGAATACTGGTAATTTTTGCTAAGTGAGTAGAAAAGTGTAATTATCTTTAAAGTTGCAAACCATTGTCTGCAAACAATTATGTTCTTGAAGAATTTTTCTAATTGATTATTTTCAAAAGAGCAATTTTGAGTTGCTTTCACTGATCTGGAATATGGGAAGTAGGGGTAATTTTTTAAGAGGCATGGTTTTCATCTATTGTACTTACTTAAAAAATATCTCTTTGTTTTTTGGTCTAAATATCCTCATTATTCCCTTTTACAAACAGAGAAGTTAAGGCAGATAAGAGTTAAGCCATTTTTTCAGAGCTACTGTTCACTGTTGTTCTTTGCTCTGACAGTACTGGGCTCTGAAGCATGTTATAAAGAACTTTGCTTTTATTTACATCCACCCATATTTACTGAGTCTAAAACACACAGACACACTGGAAAGAACAGCATGGAAAAATGTAAATTTTTAGGCACACATATTTTTTTTCTAGGGCACCTTAGAATATATTAACTAAGAGTATGAAATTTTACTTGCCAAAGTTGTAGTTTGGGACTGTGTATTACCATAAAGGCATTTGAAGTTGAAATTTAAAATGGAGTGTTCTTCGATTCTCCCTATTGTGTGTCCATCTCTTTGCTATTAGATGTTTACGACATGGGTACTTGGCACCTGCTAAGGTCTGCAGGAGGTTTTCAGGGCGATATCCTATATTTACAAAGTTTAACTTAAGGCAAGTGTAGTAGACAAATGAAGGGAGGAATGTTCCCCTAGGACATAACATCATTGCCACTAGAACCTTTCCAAAGAACTTGTTGTTTTGGTCAGTAAGGATTCTGGACACAGTAACAGCAGTTGAATTTTTGAGCCCTGCTGTTCATCTGTCACTAAAATGAAAGAGGCAAATTGACATCATAGGCCCACCCACGGGAAAGCACAGAGTTGTGGAAAGTCTCCATTCAGGCTCTGCCTGGTGGTTTGGAGGAATGCACCTGTGTGTAAGCTGGGCCATCACCTCCCATTGGAGGAGGTAACCATCCCTCAAAAGAAGAGTCCGCAGCCCAAGGAGGCCCAGGATTGCAAATCATTTGTGTCCCTGAGCTGTGCATTGACCTGATGGTTGTTTTGTTGGTTTCTTCACTTCCAACAATTTTGTTCTCCTGTCTCACCCTCCCACCACCCCCAAGACCTTGCTCCTGTTCCTTGTTCCATTCTGTAAAGCACCTCACCTAAACGCATTTATTCTAAACAGAAATCACACCTCTCTTCACCACCTCACCTGCCTGAATGCCCAGCACCCACTCACTGCTTTGCTCTTAAAACTCTTGTGACAATTTCCTTCCAATTCATCTACCATTTCATCCCTTTGACAGACATTGCCTTGCTTTCTTCCCTTCTCTTCTGGTTAATTTCTCCTGAACCCCCTTTCCAGCCCTAAGCAACCTCTAACCTACTTTCTCTATCTATACAGTTTCTTTTTCTGGACTTTAATATAAATTGCATCATTTAATATATAGGATTTTTGATTGGCTTCTTTTACTGGCATAATATTTTTGAGGTTCTTGCAAGTTGGGGCATGTATCAGTACTTCATATCTTTTTATGGCTGAGTAATATTTCATTGCATGGCCAAACTACATTTTGTTTATCCATTCTTCTGTTGATGGACATTTGAGTCATTTCTACCTCTTGGCTGTTAGGAATAATGCTGCTATGAACATTCATGTGTAAGTTTTTGTATGGACAACTGTTTTCATTTATCTTGGGTATCTACCTAGGAGTAGAATTATTGGATTACATGGTAACACTGTTTAATGGTCTGAGAAACTTCCAGATTCTTCCATAGCTGCTGCACCTTTTTACATTCCTTCAACAATGTGTGAGGGTTCCAATTTTTCCTCATCCTGTCAAGTCTTGTTATTATCTGTATTTTTGATTCTAGCCATCCTAGTGCATGTGAAGTTCATAGTTTTTTCTACTTAAGATTTTTTTTTCATGTGTGTTTTCTCAGCATCCACACATTGCTTCCCAATATTCAGTAGGCACACAGATGCTGATTGGACTGGATTGAATGTGTTATAAAAGCTGTTGTTTTTGCTTTTCATTTTCAGCAAGTGCCCAGCAGGCACCTGTGATGGATGTACATTCTATTTCCTGTGGGAGAGTGCTGAAGCTTGCCCTCTGTGCACACAGCATGACTTACACGAGATTGAGGGAGCCTGTAAGAGAGGATTTCAGGTAAAGCACAAATCTGTATAGCAGGACTGTGTCACTGAAGATATATTGGTTTGTGTGGCATCATTTGCATCACAGAAACGCAGGTTCAGAATCATGGTTAAAGCTTATAGTTGACTTAATGTAATATTAGTAAGCATTTAAAATCAAGTTTGGTAGCTGAACACCCATATGCTGGGGTAGCTGAAGGTGTACACTGGCACTGGGAAAATGAATTATGGCAAGGGAGTGGGAGACTGGATACCTAGATTGTAAAGAAATGATATCAGTAAACCAAGATATGATTTTTATAAGTTACAGGCATATTAAGATGGAGATGGTATAACTGGGTCATCACAAGAAGCACATCTAAAAAGTAAAGCATATGTGTGTGTGTGTGTGTGTATGCATGCATGTGTATATATGTAATCAAGACCTAGTTTATATTTTCTCTGCAGAATCATTTGTTTAAGTAAAATTGGAATTCTAGTCTATATATATTTTGTTTCCTTTTTATATTTAATACATTTCCTTTGTCACTTAACTTTTTTTGAAAACATGGATTTTAGTTGTTGAAAACGTTCTATTATATATATAATTTGGGATTCAATAATCCCCCTGCTGTTGGGCATTTGAGAAAAAAATCACAAACAACCTTTTTGTAAATAACTGTAATGAACATTCTTGTTGGAAATTGATTTCCTTAGAATTTTAGAAAGAGATTAATTGAATTAAAGGAGATAGGCATTTTTAATGTTCTCATTACATATTACTAAATTGCTTTGGTTGTATTTTGTGCTTCTACAAGTAGCGTTTGGAAATGCCTACTTCACTGTGCCAGCTTTGAGTAGTAGGGTAAGAAAAACACAAACTTTTCCTCCATCTAGAGATGACTTACCACGTCACCCTCTCCAAATTTCACTGACGTGAAAATAAAGAAGCGCAGATGAGAAGAAATCAATGCCAGTGGTGGGAACCCCACTGAAGAGTGGGCATCAGAGGATTAGAGATTCCAATGAAATTTCTGAAAGCCAGAAGGTCGATGGGCTAGAACTGATCTTCAGTTTGGTGTGGAGTGGGGAACTCATCAGGGTGCTCACTGGGGAAGAAATCATGATGCCCCTGCCTGATCCCAAGAGTTCAGTGCATTTGGGAGCAGTGGTGTTTGCCTCCAGGGGAAAAGAAATGAACATCTGGATTGGTATTTTTCAACTTTAATGAGAGCAAACCTGTAGTAAGAAATTCATTGTACATAAAACCTAGTACAGAACTATGAAAACCTATATGCTAACAAGCTGGGAAACCTAGGAGAAATGGACAACTTCCTAGAAAAATACAACCTTCCAAGACTGACCCAGAAAGAAACAGAAAATCTAAACAGACCAATTACCAGCAACGAAATTGAAGCGGTAATCAAAAACTACCAAAGAACAAAACCCCCGGGCCAGATGGATTTACCTCAGAATTTTATCAGACATACAGGGAAAACATAATACCCATTCTCCTTAAAGTTTTCCAAAAAATAGAAGAGTAGGGGATACTCC